ATTGCTGTTCAGGACCGAAATGGCAGCTGTCATCGTCATTGGGGACCGATTTGGTTTTTACGATCCTAGGGTCTCAAAACCAGTTGTTCGCTTACTTACTTAAAACAATGTACAAAATAAAGTATACAAGTAATATCCATATGCATTTTATGTCATCGCTGCCTAGCAACTATTTATTAGTATATTTTTGCTGGTTCCTCTAGATTAGGCCTATTTCTTCACATAGCCTACCTAACCTTAAAGTTGTAGTTGTGTTAACTGTTAATGTGCATTTTTATGGTGTGAAAATTACAACTGACCCTCAATTTTTGTATAGTGTGATGAAAAATGGCGTTTGTACCACGGGTCGAAAGGGTTTTGCAGCTCTTGACTTGGTCCCGAACTTAAAAAACTACGAGCCGGCAAAACCTCATTTTCGGTCCTAGGTACGAAACATAATATGAAGGGGGGCGGCACCAAGGATAGTGCCTAGGGGGGAAATACGTATAAATCCGTCTCTGGGCCCACAAGTGTACAATAAGTTACCACTCCGCATAAAAAATATTGATTGTTTTGTAATACACAGTTCAGATCCACCCTGAAGACCTGGTTAAAGACAAAATTTGTTTTTCCTATCGAATGGTATTTAAATAGGGACATTAAGTTGGATTAATAATTTAGTAAGTTAAGACATTTTTGTTATGTCTTAGTTTTAGTAGTATCCTGTAGGCCTATATGACTTTATGTCCTGTCAAATGATGTAGGCCTAATGAAATGTAAAAAAAAAATAAATAGGTAGGCCTAAATAGAAATAGGCCTAGATATCTAATTTTGTGTTAAAATTTGGGGAATTTCACTATTATTTTCCAAGTATTGAATTTTTATGTTCTGGACCAAACAATAGGTCGAATAGGCTAGTTTGTACCATATGCCTATAATTACAATTTACAACAGTACATTCACCTTTGCCAGTAATAAATTCATGGTCTGTTCCTCTTAATTAACAATGAGGCAGATTGTGTTTTTGTTCTAATACAAATGAGAAAAAATCACAAATTTTTACTGTGTAATCGACATTTTAAAAATCAACCCCTGAGTGATCATTACACAGCCTGAAGCCGTGTTTAAGTGAGACCAGTAGAGCAGGCAGGTTACTTAACCTACCTCTAATGTATTTCAAGCTAGCTACAGTACAGAAAGAATGACAATAACTTAAGATTTATAAATCTCTTATTTGATTCTAGACTCAAAAGAATTATTAATTTTCTTCATAAATTACGGTAATTCAATTATTGTTTTATAAATAATTTACTTCGTAACGTGTGACACTACTTAAATTAAGCCCAGTTTTAATTTCTATGGGTCATTCCATATCAAATCAACAAGGCTCTCAACCTGACCATCTTGGATTTTGATGAAATTTTGCATACTTGTAGTATTTTGAGTCCTGAATCCAAATATGCTTTTTAAAAAAATCTATCTTTTATAGTTTTTATGATATAAATATTTGAAAATGGTAAAAATTGGCGTTTTTTACCGTGCGCGCAAATCTAAAATGTTGTCTAGGATGAGTTCTATTAATCCTATCAAGTTGTACAATGGCTCATTTTAAAGAGGATTCAAATGCCTTTAATCTGATACCATACTCAACCTACTTTGGTAAAAATGAATTTTTTTTGAAAATTTCAAAATATGTTTTTGAAAAAAAAATTAAGATAGTGTTTTTTGAAAAAATTGAAAATTACATATGTTAAAGAATGTAATCTAGTAAGTACATTATAAAAATTTCAAAATGGGATGATGATGGGATCAGCAGTTATGATAAAAATACTTGACTATGGTTCACTGTTTCCAAGCGTTTTGGCGCATACAGCGTGTACATACTAACCTAAATGTATCATTTAATAAGAGTCTATTAATTATATGATTAAAATTAAAAATATCTGCCTATATTTGAACTATGTATGTCATATTTTGCTATAATATAAACTAAATCTAGCAAGTAAACAACATTATTCAAGTTAACAGAGTTTCCGTCAACCTTTGAACATGGGGGCTACTTTGAACAAACTTTCCACTTTTCATATTTTATTTTTTTTCATATTAATTTTATCTTTAAATGATAATGTTTATTATAATTTTCTATTCCCAGATAAATACTCTACTTAAAAAAAAATATTTAACAGTGCATACTATGGTTCTACAAAAAATTAAAAATACTTATTTTTCACTGAAATTTTTTAGTAAAAAAAAGTCGTCCAAACTTCCATGTCTACAGCAAACCCAGTAAGTTTATGATTTATGACATAAAACCATAATTGAATAGCCCATTTATCTGGGATTAAGAAAATACCTGCTTTGATTACTTTATAAGCAGTAATAACTTAAAAAAAAAGAAAAATTACCCAATTTGCTGACCCTTACTTATGGCGTCGCGACCCTTAGTTCTGGAGCAAAATTTCCCGGACATGAAAAAAAAAATACTTGAGTTTAAGTGTTATTTTTTAAAATGATTTTTCTAATGAAAACAGATGTTTTGAGCTTTAGTTATTATTAGCAGCCATAATCCAATTCCTTTATTTGACTGCTATGATATTTTAAAAAATATCCTTGCAAAGTTAAAAAATAACTGGACGGACATTTTGAAAATTCTCCGTAACTTTTTTTAATTTTTAACATATCAAAATAGTAGTTATACAGAAATGTGGTATGTGGTTTGTGGTATTTAAATCCACAAATCAGTTTTCACTAAAAAAATTTTAATTGTTAAAGTAAGAATACATTATTTATTACCTATGAGCAGACATTTCCCCAAAACTAAATAATTAGGCTATCATGGAATATTATCTATGTATCAATAATAAGGTTACTACAGGATTTAAATAGATTGATCACAGTATATTGTGTGACAAAATTATCAATGCTTGTTTGTCTCTCTCTCTTGTCACAAGAGGAAAGACAGACAAACATGGACCTATGGGTTTTGGCTCAGGTTCCTCAGTATTTTCCAGTTGTGTTGCAACGATTTACTGTAATTAATCTTTAAGTCTGCCTTTTCACTAGGCTGGAGACACTAGTCAGCCACTAGATCTGTGCAAAATCACATTGTGAAGCACTTTACGTTTACACTATCAGGTCGCAGCGACCCACCTTGGCAGTAGCGACCCGGTCTTGAGAAGTTGTAATTTGTTTAACAGGTACACAGGTCTAACTTATGTTTGTCAGTCTTTCCTCTTGTCTCAAGACCGAGTCGCTACAGCCGAGATGGGTCGCTGCAACCTGATAGTGTAAACGTAAAGTGCTTCTCAATGTGATTTTGCACAGATCTAGTGGCTGACTAGTGTCTACAGCCTAGTGAAAAGGCAGACTTAAAGATTGATTACAGTAAATGGTTGCAACACAACTAGGCCTAACTGGAAAAGACTGAGGAACCTGAACCAAAACCCATTGGTCCATGTTTGTTCAAAGGTTGGCGGAAACTCTGTTAACTTGAATAATGTTGTTTACTTGCTAGATTTAGTTTATTATAGCAAAATATGACATACATAATTCAAATATAGGCAGATATTTTTAATTTTAATCATATAATTAATAGACTCTTATTTAATGATACATTTAGGTTAGTACTTACACGCTGTATGCGCCAAAATGCTTGGAAACAGTGAACCATAGTCAAGTATTTTTATCATAACTGCTGATCCCATTATCATCCCATTTTGAAATTTTTATAATGTACTTACTAGATTACATTCTTTAACATATCTAATTTTCAAATTTTTCAAAAAACACTAGGCCTATCTTAATTTTTTTTTTCAAAAACATATTTTGAAATTTTCAAAAAAAATTCATTTTTACCAAAGTAGGTTGAGTTTGGTATCAGATTAAAGGCATTTGAATCCTCTTTAAAATGAGCCATTGTACAACTTGATAGGATTAATAGAACTCATCCTAGACAACATTTTAGATTTGCGCGCACGGTAAAAAACGCCAATTTTTACCATTTTCAAATATTTATATCATAAAAACTATAAAAGATAGATTTTTTTAAAAAACATATTTGGATTCAGGACTCAAAATACTACAAGTATGAAAAATTCCATCAAAATCCAAGATGGTCAGGTTGAAAATAATTTTTTATTGGTTGATTTCATATGGAATGACCCCTATTATAGTTTACTCTTTTTTTTATCCGTCCAGAGTAGGACTACATATGCTGGTTATTGTTATTTTAATTTATCATTAGAGTAATTATGTTTGTGTAGGCCCTAGGTATATTGGTAATCCGGAGGCTAACATCAACCTTAACGATTCTTAAACCATTAAACTTTGGAAATAGCCAAGTAAACTCTGATTAAAAAAATTCTGATTAAAAGAATTTGTGCTTGTCTAATCAGTTGGGAATAATTCATTTATAGGAACTTAAGTATAAAGGTTTTCATTAGATAAATTATGTCGCCAATAATACAGTAAAATAATCGATTTACTTTAAGATATATCCAACAATATAGTAATACGACAATGTAGGCCTACTTCCAGAAAAACCTAAGTAATTTTTATACAGAAGTATTTTTACATTTAAACAAAGCCTATGTAAACAACCCTGACTCGAAGCACAGCAGACGACCAGGCGTTGCAGACGCCGGGACTAGGCTAGTGCCGCCATCTTTGTCCGTTTCGTCGGCTAGTCAGACTGCCACGCTCCAAGTAGCGCTTCTATTTTGTTATGTGTTCGCTGGTTGGCATCATCGGTAATAAGTTATGGCTCACGGACGTATTTTTCCGCAAAACGGCCAGCAATAGATTTTAGCGAGCGTGTGCACTTCTTATTGCCGAGTTATTGCCAGGTTCACACAAGTGGCCTAGCCAAAACTCGAAAGCCAACTTAAAATGTTGTTAGGCCTAGGCCTACTGAACACATGAACATTCCTATAGGCCTAGGTGTCCTGAACTAAGTCATAAAAGTGATAAATTTAAAGTAGGCCTACTATGGCTATGATGAAATTATGAATTGTCAGACTTACTCTTGAGAAAGGAGATCTCCCCCCAAATCCTCTCCTTCCAGAACCGGTATTTCTTACTTTGCTGACACCTCCAGATTCATTTACTCTATTTCCTCCACGACGAAACCCTCCACCTCCTCTTGAACCTCTTCCTCTTCTACCGCGTGGATTTCTAAATTGTTTGCTGGTTTTGATGATATCATCCAAACTCATTTCTACTTTATCCATCATAGTGCAAACTTGAACGTAGCCTAACTTAGTTTCAAATTCCGCAAGCGTTATAGGCTACGATAGTAAAGTTTAAGAGTGTCTTAGGATAAACTCATCACTGCATCTATCAGTTTAAATTTAATCAAAGTTTTACTGACGGACAGAACTAGATCAATCAGAAAGAATAAGACTTCGACTTGGCTACGATCGCTAACGCGTAACGCTGAGCTGTAACCGTAACCACAAAAGGAGGGTAAAATGGCGGAATCGGAATGGGGCTGTCGCTGAATCGAGCGTGATTGGCTGGGCTTAGATTTGCCCCTTTAGCTGGAAAAATGAAAGAATCCAGATCTAATGCCAAGTATTTGGCTCAAAAAGCTTTCTATTGAGCTTCGATCGTCGATACCCCTGCTTAACATTGGAGATGACACTGAAGAGAAAATTTGACCTTTAATCTGTTATATCGCCATACCGGGTGTCCCATAGCCCATAATACTCCCCTCTGACTGATTATTTTTTAACGGCTGCATGAATATTCAAACGAGCTACGATACACGTTACGTATACGTATATTAATCACGACGGCCGCCTTTAACTCGCCGCGGCCTTCGACTTCGAAGTGGCAACGTCGCAAGTGGTGTCGTAACAGCTGTTTGGAAGCCGCTAATGGTATTTGTGTATTTACAAAGATTGATTGACTCCGCTTAAAATGTACAAATAAAGATTTTTAATTCATATTGTTTTGGTTTTAATTTCTATGTTTTATTTTCAATATTTTAATAAATTTATGTTCATACATTTAAATCAATAAAGTGTGAATTAATGAGCTGATGTCACCTGTCTGCCATGTTATCTTATGGGACGTATGTCACTAAACAACACCACTTGTGACGTTGCCAATTCTATCAGGAGACCGTGATATTAATACGTACCGGTAACTAATCCTGAAAATAACTTTTTGGTGCTATTTAGAAATTCACCCAACACCCCCACCCAAAACAGGGATGCTGGGGGTACCTTAAAATGTTTAATGGCAACCACCTTTTAAGTATATAAGCCTATAGCACATCATTTGAAATGGCTTTAAGAGGGGGAATTAAAACCCGCAAATCCGACTTTGATACGAAGAATTTTATAAAGGCTATGGCAAGAAATGTTACGCCTCTTTCACACGACGCGGCGCGCGCCGTGCGGCGCCCGCCGGATCCGGCGTAGGGCTATGGGAGTATATGAGTCCCTTCACACTATGTCCGGCGCGCGCCGCGCGGCGAATTCGCCGCACGGCGCGCGAGTTACCGCCGGATGCACCTTGAGCCGGACGACAGCGCCGCGCGGCGTCCACGCCGGACCACTTGGTGAAGGTGCATTGGTTCTTATGGGAGCTTTCACACGGTGCGGCGCGCGCCGCACGGCCCAACCCCTACGCTGTCTCAATTTAGGCAAACAACCTGACCAAGAAGGTGCAACAGTTAATTAAGAAATTATATATCGTTGTATCGGAAAATAATATATTTAAAGCTATTACAAAACATATATTTTTATGTTCATCCCATGCAAATCGGTCAACTTAAAGTATTAAAACAAATTTTTTTCTTTAATAACTAGAGGAGAATATTTAGTATTAAGTTAATAATTTAGTAATTTATACGTAATGTAACATTTTTTTAACTTCTAGAATACAATATTTTCAGATATGACGAATACTTATATATAATACGTGAAGGCGATTTCTATAAAATACTACTCCTCTGTTAATAATGGACGGATTTTTACAAACGATGTGTCAAAATTAAGTATTTGTTGTGTACCCTTTCACCAATTCCTGTAGTAAAAGTCCTCGGGCTTTGCCCTCCGGCCATGAAAATCCCAATGTATATCTTATGAAGACAAGATTTTGTTTAGTTTAACCAACACAAGTAGACTTCTCATCCCATTGTTAATTTTGAAGCTCGTTTTTCATGTCTAGTTCATGTACGCCATACTGGGCGCTAGTGTCGACGACATTTTGTTTCTATTATTTTAGGGGGAGTATTTTTTATCTATGGTTAAACAGACGAATAATTAGTATTAATTACAACTGTTCATAGTACACACATGATACACAGAGAGTTTTCGTTTTCAGTTTCGATAGATGGAGTGGAGTGAGCGTTCGTTTTCAGAGTGAGTTCGTTTCCAGTTTCGAATACTGGAGTGGAGTGATTGGTTACATTATCTATGAGTTGACTCTTTTAAGTCGACGGAAATTGTGACAATTATTCGTAAAAAAACTACTTTAATATTTTGCAATTGCTCGAATTCGAGCAACAGGTGCACTAGTTTTTATATTTTAAATTAGCCTACAGTATTAATTTTATTTGAACTTTTAAGTGGAGTATTCATTTAAAAGCCACAACTGAACGGAAATTAAATTAGCCTACAGTATTCATTTTATTTGAACTTTTAAGTGGAGTATTAATTTAAAAGCCACAACTGAACAGAAAATAATAAATATTTAGGAGGGCCGTACGGCGCGCGCCGCACGAAACCATACTAGTGTGAAGACACACGCTTGTCAGGCGTAGCGCCGCACGGCGGACGCCGCACGGCGCGCGCCGCTTCGTGTGAAAGAGGCGTTAGACGTTATTAACTGGAACTTTACATTCGATCACTTTAATTTTTTCATGGCTGTAAATTTTTCAATAACTTTCATGTTCCAGTTTGCAAAACTAGAGCTCTTTTTTGATCTTATTCCATATAGACAAATAGAATATACTGCCATAAAGCAACCAATATGTTGATGTCCTAATAGATAGCTGTTTTGCCTTTGTAGACTAAAGGGCACCTTTAACAATGACTGTATCATTATTGTTCCTACTCTGGTTTTGTTTTTCAAATCTCTTGTTTTGTCAACTTGTTCAGATAGTTTGTTATTTATAGATCGTTATTTATAATTTGTTATTTATAGTTGTTATTTATCTTTTATGTCTTGTTATTGAAGTCTTGTTTTCCAGTTTTTTTCTCACTACTTTTGTACTCGCCTGTGATTTTTGTTTTCCCTCTGCTGCTTGTTCTTTCTGTAAGACAGTACCACTGTATTTTTTAACCGACTTCCCCTTCCCCACTACCAACAAAAGGAGGAGGTTCTCAATTTGTTTGTGGCGATGTTTTTTTTTCTATGTATGTTCACCAATTTCTCTGTGATTCTTTTACCGATCAGTGTGGTTCCACCACCAAAATAACCAGGAGAGTTTCTATTTGGTACCTTATATATTATCTTTAAGTATAATATTTGTTTCGGTGAAAAATTCTGAAAACCTTAAATATTCAACACTTATTTTGTTTACATTTGTTCAGATTGTTTACATTTGTGCAGAGAAGGCAATAAATAATAATAAAATTCCTACAGCTGTTAGTTGAAACCATTTAAATGAAGCTACAGACAATTCTTCATGAAACAGTTGCTTCATATTGATCAATAAACTATTTCTTGCCATGGAGCCTTAATGAATTACATTGAGAAAAATGCATTTTGCTTTGGTTACTATAAAAAATGTATTTTAACGTCTGACCTGATTTGTGTATACAGTAATTTTGTTTTTAGTATTGAATATTCTGACTTACAAAAACATATATGTTTCAGTGAATAGCTGTATGATATTGACAAAGAAAGGTGTATTGTGAAAACCAAAGCATTCGTAAAACAGGTCTAAATATAAATTAAATGCAATTATTCCTTACACGACCTAAAAAGTGTGACAGTGCATAATCTCCAATTGTCTTAAAAATGTAAAATATTTTAATTACTAAACATGCATTTGCAGATGTGGAATGTTTATTGATATTCTCTACCCAGTTACTATATCATATCAATACTATTATGCCTGCTTCGGAAAGTCCTAGAGGAAGATGATTTGCAATTTCGACTAGGCTATATCTTGATCAAACAAAACCACCTACATGGCTTGCACCACTTTTAGCTGAGCCAATCTTTCATATACATATTTCATTTGCAGATGTGGAATGTTTATTAATATTCTCTACCCAGTTGCTATAACATATCAATACTATCATGCCTGCTTCGGAGGGTCCTAGAGGAATAAGATGATTTGCAATTTCGTCGAGGCTATATCTTGAGCAAACAAAACCCCCTACATGACTTACACCACTTTTAGCTGAACGAATCTTTCATATAATATTTTCCAAAGGTACTATACGTGTTAACGACCAATTTTCAACTTTTGAGAGATTTTTTAGTGCTGGTAGCTGAGGAATAGCTTTCATATTGCTCCAAAAGGCTTGAGACGTATTTCTTTTTATAATGTAGAAGTACACCGATTGCAGGAAACGATGATGTCTGACATTTCAATGTATCTAGAAAATACAATTAGTTTTTCATTAGGCCTAATGTAATGGACAACTCTTTCTTTCTTAAAGGAATATCTAAAAATGTTTATTTTCATACCCATTGATTATGTAACCTGAACAGGTGACTCAAGCAGTTTTAAAATAATGATTGTTCTGTGGAACTTTTGATTGTTTCAAACAGTTTTGCTTGTCAAAAAACCTCAAGTAATTAATACATAAAAAATTATACAGTCACTAAAAATCATGAAATAATTTATTTTTGTAAAAAAATACAACCGACTTCAAACGCTCTAAAAAGAATGAAATAATTTCAATAAAGTAAACTTTTGTATTAGGCAAGCTCACGTATTTCAAGTCGGCGCGGCTCAAGCTACAAATATGATTGAAATTAAATATTGTGTGTGTATTTTGAAAATCGATAAATTGTAGCTGGATAACATAAATATATAAAAAACATTCTGAACTGTTTTGTTTATATATTAAAGGAAATATTTTCTTGTATTTTATGTTTACTTCAGAATAAATGCATTATGAAAATAACACACACAAATGTTCTATATGAATAGGAAAATAATTTAGTTTGATATTGTGATAGGGAAAAGAAGCTAGTTTAGTATTAAAACGTTACTTTTCTAAGTTAGAAACATTTAAATGCGTTATAATATTTTTAAAGATACTTGTAATACCACTATGATGCCGATCTCTGATTACGGTAATAAAATAACACTTAACGCATAACTATGAAAAAAAAACATGCAGATTAACCCCTTTAGTTATAGATAGTCACCTGCAATATGGACACCCTCTTTAAATTTTGTATCAAAAATCATCATAGAGCCGCGCCGACTTTAAATACGTGAGCTTGCCTAATACAAAAGTTTACTTTATTGAAATTATTTCATTCTTTTTAGAGCGTTTGAAGTCGGTTGTATTTTTTTACAAAAATAAATTATCTTGTAAAAATGGTGCAACCGTTTTAAAATAAATAAAGGCATCATTAAAGTTCTCGAGTTCACAAAAACAAAACAGCTAGGCTATCCACTAGGGACATTAAAATGTCGGACTGCTTTAAGACCGTAACTCAAGTAAAATTCCTTGTCAGTCAATCACTTGTTATGTCGAGTTGATCATGATTATGCTTTTATTTAACCCGAATTCAACAATTAATATATTTTGATTTCGACCAAAAGGGTTTACCATGAATTAACCTAAAATTTTCAGGTTTAAGTCCTGAGTTGACCATGATTTTACCTTAATTTAAACATACTTATACCTTAATTCAACCTCAATTCAGCCTTGATTTTGCATAACTGCAAGAAATGTTTACCTTGAATCAACCTAAAATTTTCAGGGTTGATTCAGGTTTCACAAGTTTTCAGTAGGACCCTTGAATTTGGTTTGATGGCTTGATATTTTAAGATTAATTCAGGCTTGCTTCCTCAGTGCTGGACTGAGAAGCTAAAGCGGCACTAACTTTTTATCTAAGATTTTTGCATTATCAGCAAGTTTGGTTAGATTATGACAGTTTAATTTTATAATTAAATTTTTTAAATTGAATTTGAGGCATTTATAGTTTTATTTTATGAACAGAACTATTTTTTTGATAAGTAAACCTTCATTCAATTTTTTCATTATCAGCAAGTTTGGTTAGTTAGGTTAGGTTATAACATTTTAATTTTATAATAAAAATACCCCCGCCGCAGCAAACCTGCAGACTTAGTGAATTTCCACATTTATTCCCTATTTAAATAGAAGTACCTGGGGACCGAGCTTTGCTCGGAGAAAATCATTAGTTCACTCTGAAAGCAGTCTTAGTTTCGGAGATACATAAATCTGTTCCCAAACTCCACACGGCTCGCCTTTATACAACGTCCTACACCATTTCCTACGTCATGGACCTGTTTCCCTCCATTCCCATAGCACTTTAAGATTGTAGATACCTTAATCTAATCGTTATTAACAGTTCCCACACTCCGGACAGCTAGCCTTGACAACTTCCTTCACCACTTCCAACGTAGTGGACCTGTTTTTCTCCCTTCCCATAGCATTTCAGAATTGCAGATACGTTAATCTAATCGTCATAAACAGTTCCCACGCTCCATACTAATCGCCTTTACTACTTCCTTCACCACTTCCTACGTCGCAAACATGTTTCCCTCCCTTCCCATTGAATTTAAAGATTGCAGATACATTAATCTAATCGTCATAAACAGTTCCCACACTCCGGACAACTCCCCTTGACTACTTCCGTCACCACTTCCTACGTCGCGGACCTGTTTCCCTCCCTTCCCATAGCATTTTAGGATAGCCCATACCCTTATCTAATCGTCATAAACAGTTCCCACACTCCGGACAGCTCGCCTTGACTACTTCCTTCACCACTTCCTACGTCACGGACCTGTTTCCCTCTATTCCCATAGCATTTTATGATTGCCTTTACTACTTCCTTCACTACTTCCTACGTCACGGACCTGTTTCCTTCCCTTCCCATAGCATTTTAGGATTGCAGATACCTTAATGTATTCGTCATAAACAGATCCTAGACTTCGCACTGCTACCCTTGACTACAATGTCTCGAGTAATCTTAAGTATAATCTTTGCTCAATATTAACAAGTGATGTTTTTCCTTTTGTACTGTATTTGTAATTTGCTAGTATACTGTGGGTAGTTGGTTTATTATGAACACGTGCTACAACTTCAAGTCTTTTGTTTACTTTTTCCTTGTTATTTAATTCAACCAACATGGTTACTTAGCAACCCATAAGACTAATGTTAAAAAAATGTGACTTTCAGTTTCGTTTTTCTACGTAATTAGATTTTTGTTGGCAGTTCTAACTGCATGAAACTTGTTTTTAGGCCAAAAATAAACTATTTACAAGATTTGAAGAAAATCGTCGGAGCCGTTTTCGAGATCTTTCTGCAAGCAAGCAAGCAAGCAAGCAAGCATACATACAAGCAAACATTGCTCGTATTAGAGTATAGGATTAGTTTAACGTGTACCTAGGTTTGCTGCAACAGGGAGGGTAAAAAGTGTTTTTTAATGTAAAATGTTAATAGGTACTATAGTTTAGTAAGAAATGAATGTATTTTCCAAATTTGATCAAAATATGTTCATAAATAAGCAAACTACAACAGTTGACTTATTCTCCATAAGAATAACATGGGAATTTTAAAATTACAATTTTTTAATTTTTTCTGTAACCCTTAGGCGCATAATAACGCTTCAATATACTAAATTATTTGTTTCTTTAAGCTCTACATAATGGTTTGTAAAGTAATTGTGAAATTTTGTGTTTTTAGGGTAAAAAATGGGAAAACCCTATTTTTACCCCATAAAACCCCCCATAAACCCCCGTTCCCATAGTCCGATCATGCTGGTTCGCATTCGTGTGAACCTGGCAATAACTCCAGCCACAAGTAGTGCGCGCGCCCGAAAAAATCTATTGCTGGCCACTTTGCGGCAAAATACGTCCCCGATGCATATTACCGATGATGCCAACAGATAGAGGACACTTTAACGGACACGACAGTATCAACATTATGTACCTGGGGAGTAGGATAAGGGGGGTAAAATCGGCAAAAAGTAGTGCGCGCGCCACAAAAAATCTATTGCTGGCCGTTTTGCGGCTAATTTCGTCCGCGATGCGTATTACCGATTATGCCAACAGATAGAGGACACTTTAACGGACACGACAGTATCAACATTATGTACCTGGGAAGTAGGATAAGGGGGGTGAAATCGACAAAAAGGAGTGCGCGCGCCACAAAAAATCTATTGCTGGCCGTTTTGCGGCAAAATACGTCCGCGATGCATAATACCGATTATGCCAACAGATAGAGGACACTTTAACGGACACGACAGTATCAACACTATGTACCTGGGGAGTATGATAAGGGGGGTAAAACCGGCAAAAAGTAGTGCGCGCGCCGCAAAAAATCTATTGCTGGCCGCTTTGCGGCAAAATACGTCCGCCATGCATATTACCGATGATGCCAACAGATATAGGACACTTTAACGGACACGACAGTATCAACATTATGTACCTGGGGAGTAGGTTAAGGAGGGTAAAATGAGCAATAAACAATGCGCGCGCCACCAAAAATCTATTGCTGGCCGTTTTACGGCAAAATACGTCCGCGATGCATATTGCCGATGATGCCAACAGATTGAGGACACTCAAACGGACACGACAGTATCAACATTATGTACCTGGGGAGTAGGATAAGGGGGGTAAAATCGGCAAAAAGTAGTGCGCACGCTACAAAAAATCTATTGCTGGCCGTATTGCGGCAAAATACGTCCGCGATGCATATTACCGATTATACCAACAGATAGAGGACACTTACACACGGGACACGACAGTATCAACATTATGTACCTGGGGAGTAGGTTAGATAGAGATTAGATTAGATAGAGTAGGAAAGATAGGAAAATCATAGAGCACCACCACAACAGTTTATTCACAAACCTACAAATATGAAAAAATAAAAAATAAAAAAATGGAACAAAGAGGTAAAGTATTTTTACAATAATTCATAAACAATATAAAAAATAACATGAAATATAAATTGTATCTTAAATTAGAAATATTGCAAAAAAAAAATGAAATTAATTTGATTCTCCATCTTCTAGGTCGTCATTTTGATTCCCCCCATTGTGTCGATTGTAGTAGCTGAAACAAAAATTTATATTAAATCCTGTATTATATTAACAAACTAGCAGAGTATCTGTCCTTCATAAGAGGTTGGCGTTTTAGTATGAAATGCTTATTGCAGTTATACTTGTTCTTGGAGTTTACAATGGAAGAAGACACGGTTAAAGAAAATTTACCTTTTTTTAATTCACGGTAGTCCTATGCTATTATTTTTGGGAAAAAATTTATTTAGTTTGTTACTATAGCAACATTGCCCACTTATAAAGGAAATAGATCTTAAAACATATTTATCCATTTTCCATTTCACCAACCTCCTCGTCTCCTTCGTCATCAAACCTATTGCAGTTGCTGAAATGAAAATTAATATTAAAACCTGTATTATATATACAAACTAGCAGTGTATCCGTTCTTGGTATGGGTCCATCTACCACAGCCAGAATGTTCTACCACTGCCTGTAAACATAAAACAGTTAAATTCTCTTTTTCACACTTGTTAATGATAGTAGAACCTCGATAACAAGACTCTGATGGTGATTATGAAATTGGACTTGTTATCAAGGTTGACCTGTTATTGTGGTTTGTAATAACATGTGATTAGGGGTAAAATAAATTCAAGGGGATTTGAAAATTACACTTGTTATTAAGGGTGACTTGTTATTGAGGGTCTTTTAATCAAGGTTCTACTGTAGTTGCTTCAACTTAGATATTTAAAAAAATGCAATAAAAATTAATCGTGCTGCACCATGTAGGTAGGCTACTGTAAACCTTACAACTTTACAACCTTACACTGTACTTATAACTTGACAACTGTACAACCTTACAACGACATACAATTTAGTTATTGATGATATTAAATCTGTCATACACAATGAGAACTGTCAAAGTAGGATTGTTTACACAGATTTATGTAACTGTTGTGCTGTATGATATTAATTTATGTATAGGTAACCATAAATTAATAAAGGTTTGCATATTTTTAATATGCACTCCTGGATTTTTAATATTACAGTTTTGGTAATGTGATAACTTACTGTTCATTATGCCTGTCCCCTTCTTCTCTTCCTCTTCTCTCTGCCCTCCTCTCTTCATCCATTAGGCCTCTCACTACTATGTGTTCCGCTCTTCTTTCCAAATCCCTTTCTTCCTGTCTTTCACGCACTCTCTCACCTCTTTCACGCACTCTCTCACCTCTTTCACGCACTCTCTCACCTCCTCTTTCACGCACTCTCTCACCTCCTCTCTCACTTCCTCTCGCACCTCCTCGTCCGAATTCCCTCCGTCTTCCTAACATCCTCCAGCCGCGGAGGATGTTAATAAAACATTGTTCGTTGTATTTAAATTGCTCTGTAAACAGATATTGCAATAAATTAAAATATATACAATACATATAGTATACAATAGACAATTATTATATAGTTATTATAGACAATTATACAATACAAAGACTATTAACGCGAGTTGCGTACACTACTTTACCTACGACCGTTTTTTTAATTACTATCAATCTGGATTTAATTACTAACAATCACTACTAATAACTTTTTAGAGAGGTTAAGTTTTCGTGTATTGTCATTGCCACTGAAAGTGGTGCAACGACTTGTTGTATAATCAGCTGATTTCCTGTAATAACGTGTTTGTTAAACTTCGTTGACTATCAGCAGGGGTGCCCATCCCCCCCAAAGCTCACGTCGCAGAATCCCCCCCAAATTCGTTGTTTAACCCATGCCGGAAGGTCTGGGGTTATGTTTATAATGCGGGTACCCATAGTTATGTTTATAATGTGGGGAGGGAAGGGGTGCCCCCGACACTTCTTTAAATTTATGGGAATTTAAGCGTTTGAATCAAACTTTTAACCCAATTTAAATGGACAATTTTCCTTTAAAACTCTAGTAGCAAACTATTTGTTGGTTTAGTTTTAATTTAAATGAGTTGGATTTTTAACATGCACACAATTTGAATCAAAATTGGCCAAGTAGTTTTTTTATCCGATTTTCTATGAATTAACAGGTTTTAAAAGGGAAAATCACAAAAGTTGCAATAACTTTTGAACCATAATTTCTACGGCATAGAGGCCTAAACTAGAGGCCTTTTACTAGGCCTAAACTTAATACTATATTTCATGCCTAGGGCCAAAAATGAGGTTTAGCTGGTTCGAGGTAGTTTTTAAGTTCGATACGAGGTCGAGGACTTAAAACGATCGAGAACTATTTCAGTCCGTGGTACGAACGCTATTATTCACCACCCCACACTATACCCTATTACCACTAATTCACCTCAATGATAATGCACTGCACACTGATATCAGGGACGTATTTAAGTATCTGCCGCCTCTAGGCAACAAAGTTTGCCGCCGCCCCTCCCGCTCCCACTTTTCAACGCACTCCCCGACCTCACTAATATCACTCCATTGGCCAATACATGCCCTGTCAGCTGGTTTTGTGGAAAAATAATCGGTAATATTGCATGCTGCATCAACAAATTTAATAACTTTTCACCACACTATGATGTTTTTAGTTGTTTTACATGCGTTAATTGGTGGCTGAAAGTTGCTGGCCATGCCAGCTGTCATCGTCATTTGGGGACCGAGCAGGTTCTTACATCCCTAGGGCCGCAAAATCAGCTGATCGCTTACTTTTTTAAACATGAATGCATATTAAATACACAATCAGTATCCATAGCATTGCAATAGAATTGTTTTATTGTCACCACTGCCTTGCAACTATTTATTTGAATTTTTGCTGATTCCTCAAATTATTTCTTCACATAACCTTAAAGTTCTAGTTGTGTTGACTATCAGTGTGCATCATTTTTGTGGTAATAGTGCTATTACGGTATAGTGTGGTGGAAAATGGCGTTCGTACCACGGACCGAAATGGTTTTGCAGCTCTCGATCGTTTTAGGTTGACTTCGTCTTGAACCTAAAAACTATCTCGAGCCGGCGAAACCTCATTTTCGGCCCTAGGTACGAAATATACTATTTCGACCCCTTTTAACAAACGTTTTTTGTGCCGTTTTTTTTTGCAAAACATTCTGACTTGGATAGGCCTACACGGAATGCACCATTTTTTTTTTTATCTAATCAGTATTTTTACAATCCCATTTTGCGGCTTAAAACGGCACACAAAATCGCCTGTATACAATGGTTCTTATAACGCTTTTCATTGAACACTATTAGTCAGATCCACTTGAGAGATTGGCTTTGATTTGAAATGAAAGAAATATGTTTTCTTAAACTATTTTTTTCTTACAAAAAACACATGAATCGCAAAGAAAAATTACGTACTTTTACTGAAAGAATAATATACAATTTTAAATTAGTTAAGTTTGGTACAGTGGTAAGTATTTAGTTCACACTTTCCAAGAATCTTTCAGCTATAGTGCTGCCACTGCGTAGTGGTGTATAAAGTAAACAGAAGGGAGTGTTTTCTACGTTTGTCACTAGACATAGCGGCCGGCACGGCGACCCGCTCCCGCGGCGAGCGTGTCCGCCAGACCAATAGGGGCAGCAGGCAGCACGGACAACTCTACACAGCTGTGTAATAAACTATTGACGTTTGTTTGACTTGGATGCGTTCTGAAATAGTTGTATACTTAATAAAAATATTTGAAATGGCTATTTTGCCGTTCCCAAAATTATTTGCTAAAATTTTTTTAGATTAAAACTTTGTTTTTTTATTTTTTTACCCTCAAAATGTTGCCGCCCCTAAAATTTGCCGCCCTAGGCGGTCGCCTAGTCCGCCTATTCGGAAATATGTCCCTGACTGATATAGTCAACACAACTACAACTTTAAGGTCATGTGGATAAATAATTTGAGGAATCAGCAAAAATAATAATATAAATAGTTGCTAGGCAGCGGTGACAATAAAACAACTCTATTGCAATGCTATGGATACTGTTGTGTATTTAAAGCGGGCAGCTGATTTTGCAGCCCTAGGGATGTAAAAACCTGCTCGATCCCCGAATGACGATGACAGCTGTGGCATGGCCTGCAAAACGTAACTTTCAGCCACCAATTAATGTACCTATATGTAAAATAGTTAAAAACATCATAGTGTGGTAAAATAGTTTATTACGTTACTAGTCCTGAATCCCGTGCCAGACGAAGTGGAGTAGTGGTTTTTTTATACGAGTCCGGCCAACACATTTTGGACGAGTGACGTACGATAGTTTACGCCATACTACTAAATCCGTTCAAATCCCTATATATTACCACCAACTAAAGGACTAAAAATCACTAGTCATAACCTCTAAGAGAGGTTATGTTTTTGTTATAACCACTCATTGCCACCCAAATACAGTATAATCAGCTGATTGGTGTCCGGCAAAACTCATAGTACAGTAGTACTGTATGAAACCCCATTTGATTAAGGACAAACAGCTGTTTTCTGGACTAGATCCTTGCATGGGAAGTTCGTCAAAATAGTGTAGTGTGGCGTAAAATAGCTATTTACATTAAATAAATCATAAATCTTTATTGGTCATTAAATAACATATGTTACAATAGACCTCGTTAACAAAAAAAGGGCCATAGATTCTAGTAACATGGTCTATAACATGGAATCTTCACTAAACTTAAATATAACAAAGACAACAAGAAAATACTAAAAAAGCGTTTGATCTACCTAGTTTGATGTCGCATTTTGCGACATCAAACCCCCCTGTGGGCACCCCTGACTATCAGTTTTCATTACTATTATTGTGAATATAGTAGTAGTGTGGTGAAAAATAGTATTCGTACCATGGACCGAAATTGGTTTTGCAGCTCTCGATCGATTTTGGTGTTCGACTTTGCCTCGAACTTAAAAACTATCTCGAGCCGGCAAAACCTCGTTTTTTGGTAACCTAGGTACGAAATATACTATATTGTGCCATTATTCCAAATTATGAGTAATAAAGGATGTTGCAATTATTCTGACCAATAATAGGCTACAAATACTATCCTCATGTTACGAAAGTAACATGCTGTTATTATGTTGCAATTTATGCACAGTTATTCTGGTTATTAGTTTGTAGTAGTTATTAGTAGTTGGCCAACATGTTACAACTGTCCCTACACACAAATTGTAAATGAGTTTGACGTTTCATTTATATTTTTCCTGCAACTTACCGAGCATTCCAACCACCAGGTATGTGTTGGCCCAAGGGACGCTTTCGGCGACTCGGTTGGCAATCGACACCCGCCGAAGAGCCTCCTCCGACACCACATAGGTGGACGCAGCCGTTAAGTTTAACTTTTTGTTAGGCATCTGTGAAAATAATATTTTCCAAACTTAGTCTTCACTTTAAGTTCAATATGTTATGTCCTTGCTGAAAAGTTTTCACATTTCTAAAGTATGTCTGGGCCTACTAATGTAACTTTTGCTCTAACAGGGACAGCTAGAGAGGGTAGGCCAGGCCCACCTTTGATTTTGATGGATATTTCAAAAAAGATAAATAAATGAATAGATGTAATGATAATTAAATAAAGGAAAAACAGTACAAGTAATTAATTTTTAATTAAAATTTTCCAAAGTCCCCCTTTTGCAGGGAAGCCCTTCAAACCTCTTGTACCCTGCTGGTCAAACTACCTACTTCTTGATCCTTGTCAGCCCTACCCAATGTGAATGGCAGCACTTCGTTTAAGTTAGGATCTACCTAAGTTAATAGATTAAAATGAACTTTAGGTATTTATTTAGTACGACAAATGTTTGTTTATAGCTTTATTATTATTATTATTATTATCTAATTATTACACTCAGATTAGATATTACTAATCTGCGCTTATACTAACAACTTGTAACATGCCTGTAACCGAGCCCTTCAATCCCAATTTAAAAAACCCCCTAATTTGACAAACAATTTAAATAAGTTATTACCAGTAACCTAGTAATAGTAGTACAACATAAATTACTACCTACTTCAAATTTAGGGAACTAGAACTAGGGTGACTTTAACGACTTTCTCTAATTACATAACTTGCATGGCTTACCTCGTCAGCTCAGCACAGCACTCTCCTGTAATGGCTATGGCAACGAAAACGTGGACTGGACACTGGACAGTGGACAACGACAACGATGATGTACCGGATATATCAGGGTTGCCACCCGTAAGCACCTTCGCCACGTGTTTTAAGCCAATGTAAGTGATAGGGTGACGCGGCGGGACCATCGTGCCTTTTACATAACCACAGGTGGCAACCCTGACAACCCAGCCACGAGGGATGAGGGTTGCCACCTTTATAGCTACCACTTTCCCTTACAGCACGGTTGGCTGGTTTGGATGGGTGACGATTGACGACCGATTCTCTTACACCGCCAAGGTCAGGCCCAGTCCCCAGGTACATAATGTTGATACTGTCGTGTCCGTTAAAGTATCCTCTATCTGTTGGCATAATTGGTAATATGCATCGCGGACTTATTTTGCCGCAAAACGGCCAGCAATAGATTTTTTGTGGCGCGCGCACTACTTTTTGCCGATTTTACCCCCCTTATCCTACTCCCCACCCAAGTAGCACAAATATGTATATAATACGTATAATTTACCTACCGGCATGGTATAGCTTTTGTATACAATCTGTATAGAAATGTATACAATACAGATTGTATCTGTAAATATGTCCCACCTAAATATGTATTATATGCATATTGTATAAGGATCCAACTACAGATATGATACATATTATACATCTGTATATAATCTGTAAATTTTGATAGAAATTGATGCATACCTTAAATGTATAAAATACATATTTTATACATAGATGATACATATTTGATGCCATATTAATAAAAAGTGGCTCAAAATACAATTGTCATAAAAATCAATATATAAAATTATATACATTGATTTTTACTAACAGTTTTCTTTGAAGGTTTAATGTTATGGGAGGTGAACTATGTGTCATGAGGGTTGGTGTGTTGTATGATGGTAAAACAATATTTTAAGTCTTCATTAGAAATATGTGTTTTGTGATTTGTCAGGTAAATACCTAATTGATCTAGTTTAGGGACAACCTACTGCTGTTCAGTAGTTTCATCTGAAGCAGGCCCGTAGGACCTCGGGTACGGATCACATCAAGCTCCTAAGGTGAACCAGAGGGGCCCTAGTGAAAGTCTAGAAGGGGAAAGAGCACCTATTACAGTTACTACATCATTACAATACAGTATGCAAAAAATGTAATGTTATATTGTTGGTGTAGGCTAGCTATCAGCATTTATTTTCATATCATAATCAAACCAAAGAATGAGAGAATTATGCAATTTTTGTAGACTTCCTTAAAAATGGTAGCAGCCACAAAAAAACAAATGATTTTACCTTTAAAGAATATGTGTTTTAATGAAGTAGGGAAGATAAAGAATATGGCAACTACCTTAACAAATATTAGACCAAGACAGCTTCAATTTTTTTTAATTATCGTACATTGAAGATTATTTGAGAAAAACTTATTAAATTACCTTGATGAGAATAGGTACCACTTAACAAGCATTTTGGATAGTGCATTTATTTGCATAAAAAAGTAAATAATATGTTAATTATTATATTAGTGTTTATATTACCAAGCATTATTCAGCTGATAATAATTAATAGTAATAACTAGCTTGAATGTTAAGAAGATTAAGTTGAAATAGTTTAGAAAAATAACCTATTATTAATAATAATACAGTATGATTAAATAACAACTGAAAGTGTAAAAAAAAATACTAACTCACTTCTCACAACTGATGAATAATTTCTAGTTTTTTTAACTGAATCTTATTCTTACATGAAAATGTTGTTTTTTTAGTTTTCCATTTTCCCTGTTGTTTATTTAATGTGAGAAAACAAGAAGGCTAGGCTCAACAAATAATAATAGATTTTGTAGTAACTTTTTAGACCTATTCTAAATTGTGCACAAAAAATACTTGCACAGTAAAAAAAACAAAAAATAAATGCACAAAAATAAAAAAAATGAGTAAAAATATTTGTTCAGATGTAATCACAAGTACCCTAATACATTCAAGTATAAAAGTTGTTTTTATAAAATTGTTTCTATTGTTTATTAACACACTTTTTAAAGGAACATATAAATGAAACAATGAAGAAATGTCAAGAAAAAACTATTTAATTAATCATCTGCGGTAGGCCTAAATTTTTATTTTTGACATAAATCCTTGTTCCTGCTTGACGTAACCATTCGCTGGTTTTTTCTCAAATGTTGTGAGATCGAATGAGGACGGGTGTTGTTGACGAACTACACCTGAAACAAAATTCACACTTGTGTCAATGTCTGTATTCCTGTGTATAAGGTAATATTAGGGTACGCACAAGATTCACGCTTAGAGCAACATATCTTTTGGTAATCAATCCTTTGTTTTCTTGATGGCAAAACTTAGATTAATTCATTTTTAATGTTTTCATTTTTAACATTTTTTTAACACGTTTAGTGCTGACTACATCAATTGATGTAGTCGCGACATGAGCGGCCTACATCAATTGATGTAGTTGCGCAACCCCCTCTACATTAGTTCAGTATGCGCTCAGCCATTGCCGGGGAACGTTAAAATCGTTGCTAGCCCGTAGCTTAGAATGTAAGCTTCATTTTGGTGTAGGTTGGTACTAAAATTTCCCGTAAAATCCCGTCTGACAATGCTTTTGTACCGGTTTTGGGGATTTTCTCTCTTCAAGCCATATTACAAAGCCACTGACTACTGATCCAGGCAGTGCTGCTACCTTTGGGTGTTTTAGGGAACTACGTTCAATCTCGGGGTAACGTAGTACAATCGCCCATGCTCTTTTGTTTTTCGTCAGATTGAAATATTTGAATGCCAATTGCGTTTGCTGTTGGTACGGCACCGCGCCAGGGCATTGCCGCCATTGGCGAGCGCCTGTTGGAATGCCTGCCGCACTGAACGTGTTAAGCAAAATCGTTTTTTTTTTTTAGCTAAACTAACAAGTTGCAATCAAGAAATCAAAGTATTGAAGAGGTTTAAAGAGTACAGTGCAGAAAAAAAGGATAGGTACGGTACATTCTACAGACAAAAAATGTGTGTAACATCATAAATTAATATCATATAGCCTATGATAATTAATTATAAGATGATAAATTAATATAATTAAAATCCATTGATCTAGCCCCTGAACCTTTTTATTGACTAATAATTGTTACGTAACTTCACGCCATACTGCTAAAAATGTATGTAAAGAATAACAAGATGTTTCGCCAGAATGACATTTTCAAGTGGGGGTATGAAGTAAATGTAGGCTACTGTATGACGTATATGTACATACCAATTATTAGTTAAATCATAAAACCTATGATGGTAAAAACAGGGTTAAAAAATAAATTACTTACTTTGGTTGAGTTGACTTTATAGAAAAATAAATAAATGTCAAATATAGGCCTATCATTGAAAGAATAAATAAAAGTAACATTATAAACCATGTTAAAAACTTACGGCAAATCAACTGCACCAATGCAGAGTTCTGCAGACTCCACTTCTTTCCTCCTCTTCCTTCCCAACTAAATTCTCTCGCAAGCTCATTTTTGAATAGTCTTACAAGGATCCGTCTTGTTGAGTCCTCAACACTGGCCCCGCCAACCGTGCGAAGATAACTGACCTGAAACACATTATAAAAATGCTTAACTCTTCAACCTCTATTACTATTATATTAGTTTAACAAGTCTGGTGTCTTATAAAAAGCTTTTTTGTTTAAAAGTACGGTATGTTATTATTTTCAACAAGGATGGCAGAAAAGTTTAAGTTTACAAATCTGTTTGTAAGAAGCTTTGATTATAGGACCTTCATTTATAATAAACTAGTGTAGGCCTAGCCTACATGTTGCTCATAATCGGGCAAATGCAAAGAAGTAAAGTAGTGTATTTGGGCCCAGCATTTAGAAAAAGAAACGTTCGAGATTCCATACATTATTTAGCACAACAAAATCAACAGTGGCGTAACAAATCTTTACGGGCCCCCCTGTAAACTTATTTTTTGGGCCCCCCTCTTATGAGTTAATTTAAGACCACCGATTCAACATAGTGAATCGCCCTCCCCCTCCCCCCAGAGCTATTTTAGGACCACCGATACAATGATCAAACAGATTAATCATAAAAAGAGTGGTACCCTAAACAAATTAGTGGGTCTCTCTGCCCACCGCCCCCCCCCCCCCCCCCAGCTCCCGGGCACCCCGCATTGCGGGCCCTTCTGTTACGCCACTGAAAATCAACGGGCAAATTATATTTTATACAAAGTTGACTGTGAGTTCAATTCTTAAGTTTTTCCCTTAGCAGGTTCAGTCCCAGCCGTCACACTCCTCTGTATTTTTAGGTTCAGTTATATCTACACTCGGGGGTAAGTTCAGGCCCGCGGTCAGTTATGTGATACGCTATGGGCCCAAGTCATAGTTGCGCCCCCCCCACCCTGCCGACATTGATTTGAATTATAAAATGAATATAGACATTTTATGAGTTGCTTGCGCATCTGCAATATAGGCCTAACAAATATAAGAAGACTCATTGTGTTTACTTTTGATTGTTAATTGAATAACTAAATTACTTTTAAACTTAGTAACTAAAAACGTAAACCATCAATTAAAGTTTAACTGTTACTTACATACCGTAAACACTTATATTTCCAATGGTGCGTTCTTAAAAGTAAAATTGGTTTAGTTGTAAAAAAGTGTGAATTAAAACATAGTTTTAATTTATATAAGTTATAATTGCAAACATTTAAAACTCCAAAAAGTCAATACCGTAAAATGGCTGGTTTTTTCTACATTTTTTTTTTGGCCAACTCGTCAATAACTTAACATCATCAAAGTTCATTTTCAGATTTACCTACATCACTTTCTGTACACATCATCATTTAGGCCTAAATGATTTTAATTACCGTAAAAACTAGGCTACTTATTTTAGGAACTTTTTGTAACACTTTTACCTTACGAATCTTTTATGTCGCCCTCTTTCTAAAATCACTGCCACTTGGTTTTTTGCTCATTTCACAGAAAAAGGGTGTGATATTACAACGTAAAATAACATCCTTCAAACTTAAATAAAATCATAAGCAAAAACACGGCCAGTATCTTTACTTGCTAACAAATTGATACTGTAATAAGTTTCTCGCCATTTGAAAAAAGCAACTGACATTGAGTATAATGAAAAAAGGACATAACAAATTAATAGCCTACAAATAAAGACAGACGATTAAGTATAGTTAATGATAGGCCTAATATACAAACAGTGGCAGTGATGAGTCATGAGTGGAAGACGAAGTGAGGAGGTTTCAGATATTTTCCAATTAGTGTCTGTTACTAGCGCACCCAACAAAACAAAAAAAACTCTTGCGCCCCTGGACCAGGGCCCATTTTTAACCGCGGTACTGGGTAAGTTAAAACTTTCATCCCTAGATCTTAGAAAGACAGCTGTGATGTCATAGGCATATTTGATATACATTTTGATAGCGTTGTTACCCTTCAAAGTGCCATCTATAAATAAATCGTACCCTAGGCTATTACCGTATGTGCCAAGCCTTGATAAAAATTACTAAACGTAGGTAGCTGCGATGTTGTTTCATAAGTTAGACCTAAGTTAATCGTAAACAAAAAAAAAAAACATACCGGTAGCTAAACCTAACCTAGCCATAACCTACTGATCGCAAACGCGGCACCTTAAGTTATTTGTTTGACATTTCCTTTTGATAGTTTGGAAGGACGTAGGCCTAATTATAAAGCTGCAGCCTTCTGGGGTTACAGTTCCGCAGAGAACCTGCGATCTTATTAAGTTATCAGATCAATAACAATTTATCAATATTTTTATAAATATTAACATAGGCCTAGGCCTAAGTTTAGGCCTAGTTAACTTTAATATTGCATTGACTTTAATTTTCCCAGTTAGCTTATACATTAAGTTATAGGCCTAAGAGGCTAACTTTATGTTTTCTTTTGTTGCTTATTCATTAAATAGGTTAGGCTATATTTGGCTAGTAAGTTACCGTCTCAGGCTATATTTTGTTTGTGGTTAAATATGCTTATAGGCTAGTTAATATCGATAGAAACGTAGGCAAAACAAATCATAGGTCAATTTGATATTTACATTGGGAAGAAGAATAAACATTTAATTTAACTTACCAAAGATATTTATCATTAAGTCATACATCTGTTCACAGATCACAGGTTCTCTTCGGAACTGTAAGTTAAGTTACCCCCTTCTGGTCTTAAAATATTCATCTGCCTACAAGACTAGGCCTGAATTTTAACATAACCTTACCAATTAACATCATTTTTAGTCTTAACTGTAAGTTAGGCCTAGGCTAACTTATGACAGGTTCTAAGTAACTTAGGCATAAGTTTAGCTACGGTATTTGTTAAGTAGACCTAGGCCTAGCTTGTCTCCAAGCTAAATTAGTTCAGACCAAGGACATATTGAAATGAATTAGGTCTAGGTTATCTCCTGAAGTTGGCTTCCTTAGTTTTGTAAACTACAGCCTAATTTTTCCCTAAAGAGCCTCCATCCGTAGAGTTTTTAAGGGGTTAGGAAGGCTATTGTAACCTATTTCCACTTATAAAGTATTTAAATTAGATTACCACCATTCGAGTTATTAACAAAACATATGCTAAATCTCTTAATAACTTACAATAACGATAATAATTTGTGTAACTTACCTTAACTCAAGTTGGTCGAATCGCCACTGAAGTTAAAAAGTCGAAGATGTAACGCAAATCTTAAAGAATATAAAGTAAAAAGTAACTAATAGACCTATTTAATAAGTAAATAATAACAAAACAACGAATTCTTCACGTGTAACACTGAAAATCAGAAGTAGATGCTCTAGTCTAAACACGCCCGTAGGACATTAACCCTTGCCGACAGACCGCCACCGTCCACCACTGCTCGAGCGAACACCATTACCGCAACGATACTGTCAATAGCCGTGTGTCTCGGTGGTCTAGTGGATAGCGCACCGGGCTGATGTTTTGGAGGTAGCCGGTTCGAAACCCACAGGAGGCATTAACTTTTTGACTCGATTTTTTCATTATCAGCAAGTTTGGTTGGTTTGGTTAGGTTATGATAGTTTAATTTTATATTTAAAAAAATATATAATTGATTTTGAGACATTTATAATTTTATTTCATCAACAGAACTATTTTTGTTTTTAGTAAACTTTCTTTCATTCAAAATTTTCATTATCAGCAAGTTTGGTTAGGTTATGACAGTTAAAATTAATTTAAATTTAACCTACAAACGACACGTTTTTACAGCGACAGTGATAGAGATAACAATTTCCCACGATCAGTTCGGCTAAGCACGGTGTTATGCGTTCTGCACGGCGCGGTGGTGGGCGGTGACGGTCTGACGGTAAGGTCTCGTCACAAGGACAACGTTTGTTGTGAGTTGTGAGACAAAGACATTAGACAAACAATATGGCGGTGGCGGATCGGATCGGATGCTGACCCCCGCTGTTTTGCTCCCATAATGCATCAGCGAACATCGTCGAACCTAAGAAAACGCAGAGACTCGGGTATCTCGCGCGGCAGAATATTTTGTTCATCATCTATGAATATTATAGTATAGTATGTGTTACAAATACATTTTACACAGGATGTTGAAAAAATGCAGGGAAATAAATACAACACTACAATTTTTTTCGTATTTTTCTATTGATATAAAATACATATATTATCTGTATCATCAATACCTTTACTTATTTTACTGCATTCTCGAAAGTTAATTTATGCCCTCAAAACAACATTTAGGTGAAAATTTACACTTTGTTTCTTCATTTTACAGTATTTTATGCAAAATTTATTTTGGATGAAACCGTATTTTCATATTGGTATATAATATGTATATTATCTGTATCATTAATACATATACGTTGGTTATACCTTAATCCCGAATATTTACGTATTATATACATTGCTTGCTACATGGGCAGGTACATAATGTTGATACTGTCGTGTCCGTTAAAGTGTCCTCTATCTGTTGGCATAATCGGTAATATGCATCGCGGACGTATTTTGCCGCAAAACAACCAGCAATAGATTTTTTGTGGCGCGCACACTACTTTTTGCCGATTTTACCCCCCTTATCCTACTCCCCAGGTACATAATGTTGATACTGTCGTGTCCGTTAAAGTGTCTTCTATCTGTTGGCATAATCTGTAATATGCATCGCGGACGTATTTTGCCGCAAAACGGCCAGCAATAGATTTTTTGTGGCGCGCGCACTTCTTATTGCCAAGTTATTGCCAGGATCACACAAGTCTGGTTCGCGAACAAGTTTATCCTGCTTTACACCTTTAAACCAAATTTCATCGAAATAGGACAAAAATTACTCAAGTTATCGCGTTCACGGACACACACATATATATATATATATAAATCTATATATATACATATATAAAAATTTTAACGAATGGTGTTTTTGGCCTCTGGGGACATCAAAATGAAAAAGTAAATCGGTCCCGGGTCTAGGTCTTACCTTGCCACCTACGGTAATAGCTTACTTCCCTATAGGGAAATTCGCTAAAATTAATTTAATTTTTTTAGTTTTATAATATTTTTTATTTTTTATTTTTAAATTCTCATTTTGTCTGTATTAAAAAACTGCAGCTGAAATAAAAATTGTGCGGACGGGAGCAGCCGACGTGACGTGACAGGACGACAGGCGCAGACGACGCTCGCTCGAAGTTAAGATGTCGCGGGAGGGAGGGAGAAAAATGATAAAAATTATGGACTAAAAACGTTCAAAGTCCATTGTTAACTAATATTTTGTTTTCTTGTTGTTGTTAGTTTATTTGCTGGAGGAATCGGAGTTGTAGGCTACCTAGCGTGAAATTGTTTTGTAAACTTTTCCCTTTTCGTAGTGGAGTGGAGAGTGGAGGTTATGGTATCCCACTTAGGCCTATTTGTATTCTGTGCTTCAGCTATGAATAGACAGTGACTTTAAATTACATTTAATATGATAATAGACAGCATTCACGTGCAATGTAGCACTTGTCCTCCAGAGGTGGATGTGGGGGAGAGCTTAGAACACTAAATTGCTTCCACTGATTTGAAATAAAGGTAAGAAAGATGAAAGATCTTAAGTTATTTTGATAGGCCTATCATTACTAGCCTAGGCTGGAACCTGACTTCAAACACTAACTTGTTAATTTATCTTGCTTAATTTATGGCAACACTCCATCAGTGTTAAAGATGTAGCCTATTAATGGTTTAACATAAGGGCAACTTTGCATTTTAACTGAGCTACTACCTAGGCTATTTTGAAGATTAATTAATACCGGAAGGCCTATCAATTAATTTTTTCAATAAGTTATATAACTTAAGTTAGATATTTTGGGTACACTTCCATATCTGTTGGCACAAACAACTGAATGAAAATATCGATCGAAATATCGATTAAGTTTATTTGATACCTACCTATATCGTTTGGTTAGTTAGGTAAGGTTAACCTAACCCAACTAACCAAACGATATATCAAATTAAACAATTTGATAATCAATATTTCTCATTCGGTTGTTTGTGCCAACAGATATGGAAGTGTACCGGTACCCGATATTTTTGTGTATCAAATATAGGCTACATGGAAAACGAACCATTGCTACTTTTTAAACCAAAAAGAATAGGCTATTGGATTTCATAACATTTTTGTACAGTTTTTACAAACGCGTAGTAGGCTAGGCCTAGGCATATAGCCTAGATATAAACACACATTAGTTGGAAATAATTAGATAACATTTGAATAGTGAAACTCCAATTATCCGAACTCCAACAAAAAAAAAAAAAACAACAAAAAAACTGGGTGAAATAGGCGTTTCCCCCAAAGTGCCAAAGGTAAAAAGTGCTTAACCTAGTCTAATTTTGATAAGTTAGATAAGGAAAAAATGCCATATAACATAAGTAGTATAAGTTCAGTATTACCCTGATCTTCTATTAGGTATTACCCTGTGTCTATTGAGCTATTAATGAAAACAATTTTTACTTAATTATGTCGTCGAACTGTGGCATCTGTGGTGTATCGATCGAGAACAGTGAAAGTGAACAGAAGATCAAGTGTACCGGTGTTTGTGGTAATTTCTTCCATTCTCGCTGTGCTCAAGATGATCTGGTTGGTGCTAAGACGCGATCTCTACGAGACTGGAAATGCAAAAAGTGTCGTCCTTCACTATCAGCTACATCGGAGGTTAGTGCGGATGGCACGAAAGAGCTGTTACAAGCACTGGAAGATTTCAAACAAAAGGTCTTCATGGAGTTGAAATCTACTAGAAACGATATAAGTGAACTTAAGGAATCTTTAAATTTTGTATCAAACATGATGGATGATTCAAACAAACTAATGACGGAAATAAAAGGAGAACTAGCTACATTGAAGAAGGAAAATGATGATCTCCGCAAAGAAAATGCAACCCTTACTGTGGAAGTGACCTCTTTGAAAGACAGAGTCCGCTCACTGGAACAATATTCCAGGAAAAACAACGTTGAGATAAGCGGGATCCCTCAAACTCCAAATGAAGATGTGGTTAAGTTGGTAAAAGATGTTGGAGCTGCTCTGGGAATCGACATCCAGGAAGGTGACATATCGATTGCACACCGTGTTCCATCCTTCAAAAAAGAACGCACGCAGCCACTTATCGTCCAGTTCTCCAGGAGGACATCTCGTGAAACCTTGCTGAAAAGTTTTAGGGAGAAGAAGACGATGACAGCCAAAGAAATCCATGCAGCCTTCCCAGCCCGGAGCGTCTACGTCAACGAACACCTCTCTCCAGAAAATAAACAATTTCTGTCAAAGCTTAAAGAAAAGTGCAAAGAAGTCGGATACAAGTATGCGTGGTGCAGAGAAGGTAAATTCTTCGTACGGAAGTGTGACAATGATCGCTGCCTCAGAGTGGACACCTACGAGGAACTTGAGAAACTTAAATAACATGTAAGTCAACATGAGTCAACCTACACTATTTTTGTCCAATAAAAAATATATATATATAATGTTTGTTATCTCTTTATTGTTATTATGTTTATATATTCTATGAAATGTTTATTTTTATCTCAGGTTCTATTTACTTCTCTGTCATCAAGGAGTGTGACAGTTGTTTATCTTTATAAAACCGTACATATAAACAATTTATTTTTAGAGTTAAAAATGCATACTGTTTAAATGAATCATCACATACTGAAACACAATTCTCAATCTGAAATACAGGATTTCTTTTTGCCTGGGAACGCTACAAAAGAATTTAATTTAATATATACTAATATAAGGAGCTTGAGAAAAAATTTCAATAGCTTCATTGCTGAAATAAGTAGTATAAAACACAAAATACATTTCATTGTCCTTATAGTCCAGGCAAACTAAACAAACTTACATAGGGACCGTTAAAAAAATTGCAAGAAAACGTTTTATGGTTTTATTTTGTAGAGTTGGGTTTGCAGAATGACATACTAAAAGTTGCCAAAAATCGGTGCACGAGAAAACCACTAAAATCACAATTTAAAATGGCGGCTTTTTTCAACATTGGACAAATTAAAGAAACATATTTCACATGCATTTGTTATGCACATTTTTCGAGATATTGACTTAGGACCACCGCCTGTATTTATTGAGTGGTTAGTACTTCATTTTGATAGGGAACATGTTTTTGGCCGCCATCTTGGATCCGCCATATTGGACATAGATAATTTTTTTTCAATGTAATGATAGTGTTGTGACACATCATTACCAACTACATTTTTACACTGATTTCAATGCCGAAATCAGTTTTTAAATATCTTTATTCATTTAGAAGATATATACAAAAGAAAACTCTGCACCATACATTTCTTATGGACGTTTCGTAGTTTGATATATTTTTTTAAATTATTTTTCTTATATCTCCAGTTCTTATTAACGCTTGTAGTTCGTTCTAGGCTTAAAATATTCAGTAATGTAAGGGCTTTCATTTGAGCTCTTGATCATAATATCAGACGAGTTAAAGACCAGCTACAAACCTCAGAACAATATTAAATTTAACTTTTTATAAATATATTTTTATTAAAAGATTTATAACTCGGGTTGTTAATACGTCACCAAGTTCTTTCTGGTCTCAAATTACTCAGTGAATGTTTAGCTTTGATTTTATTAATCACTAAACAAAATCTGACAATTTTAAAATGAGTCATGGTTCTTAATTTAACATTAAAATTTATTTATTTTGAAATTTGTCTTTAGTTAAGGACATATATCCCAAACCCTAATAACTCCCGGAACGTAATCCATAGCTAAAATATAAGTCAATAATTTGGCAAATTATTTAAGACTATAAAGAGTTTTGGGTGTTATTTAGAATTGGGGATATACGTCTTTAACTAAAGACAAATTTCAAAATAAATACATTTTAATGTTAAATTATGGCCCATGACTCATTTTAAAATTGTCAGATTTTGTTTAATGATCAATAAAATTAAAGCTAAACACTTACTGAGTAATTTGAGACCAGAAAGAACTCGGTGACGTATTAACAACCCGAGTTATAAATCTTTTAATAAAAATATATTTATAAAAAGTTAAATTTAATATTGTTCTGAGGTTTGTAGCTGGTCTTTAACTCGTCTGATTTTAATGATCAAGAGCTCAAATGAAAGCCCTTACATTACTGAATATTTTAAGCCTAGAACGAACTACAAGCGTTAATAAGAACTGGAGATATAAGAAAAATAATTTAAAAAAATATGTCAAACTACGAAACGTCCATAAGAAATGTATGGTGCAGAGTTTTCTTTTGTATATATCTTCTAAATGAATAAGGATATTTAAAAACGGATTTCGGCATTGAAATCAGTGTAAAAATGTAGTTGGTAATGATGTATCACAACACTATCATTACATTGAAAAAAAATTATCTATGTCCAATATGGCGGATCCAACATGGCGGCCAAAAACATGTTCCCTATCAAAATGAAGTACTAACCACTCAATAAATACAGGCGGTGGTCCCAAGTCAATATCTCAAAAAATGTGCATAACAAATACATGTGAAATATGTTTTTTTAATTTGTCCAATGTTGAAAAAAGCCGCCATTTTAAATTAATTGTGATTTTAGTGGTTTTCTCGTGCACCGATTTTTGGCAACTTTTAGTATGTCATTCTGCAAACCCAGCTCTACAAAATAAAACCATAAAACGTTTTCTTGCAATTTTTTTAAGGTCATATCCTATATTTACCCGACTATTAGTGAAATTTGGATTGACAGTAATGAAGCAAATTTATATAGCATACCAGGATATAACCTTTTTACCTCATGCAACGATGAATACAGAGCTGGAGGTGTTTTGTGTTTTGTTGACAAATCAATAGAAAGTAAGGATGTAAAGTTGTCTTTTAACCCAAGATCAGCTGATATCTTATTGCTGGATATAAAAAGAACCAAGTGTATTTTAAGCTAGTATGCCTGTACAGATTACAAAAAATTCCAGAAAACTCATTTTTAATAGATTTATCTCAGCTGATGTTAGAAATAAAAAATAATGCAATATATATTGGTGACATAAATATTAATCTTTTGGAGGAAAGTGCTATATCTGAAAGCTACAATAGTGTCCTAAACAATAATGGGTTTATATCCATAGTTAACTCTCCTACTAGAATTACTCACTTTACAAAAACATTAATAGACCACATGTTTGTAAGAAATAGATATATGCAACAGTTTTCCAGTGGAGTATTCGATTTAGGTATCACTGACCATTGTGTTCTAGGTCTTAAATTTAGATATTTGTCCAATACAAAAACTGTTAACACATGTGATGATAACATAAACCTTAAGAAACAAATACTTGATTTTGATCTTGTAAAAACTAAGCTTAAGAATACTAACTGGGAAGATATTTATTCTGAATTAGATGTAAACAATTGTTTTAGTATTTTTTATGAAAAATTAATGAACGTTGTTAATACTAGTAAAAAAACTGTTCATGTTGACTCTAAACTGAGGAAAGCAAAGTTATCGAGTCCTTGGATTACAAAAAAAATTTTTAATCGAATAAAAAGGAGAAGAAAGCTTTATATACTTTCCAAAAAAAGACCATATGACACTGCTTTCAACACCTATTTCAAAAGATTTACAGACAATTTAAAAGTTGACATTGACACAGCAAAAAACTTATATTATTCAAATAAACTTCAAGAATGTAATGGTAATATTGCCCAACAATGGAAAATCATTAATAACTTGACTGGAAATGTAAAAGATAAGAACATTGATAGGATTGAGCTAAACGATGGGACACTGATAACAGAGCCTGGCCTTATCGCCCAGGAAATAAACAACCACCTTGTCTCAATACAGGCTGGACAACCAATCACTTTCCCTGCAGCAATTCTACCTCCTATGTACATCTGTCCACAAACGTTTTTTATAGCACCAACTACAGTGCAGGAAATAAAGTCAGTTGTTAGTAATTTAAAGAACAAAAAATCTACTGGCTTTGATGGCATCAGTGTTAGTTTACTTAAACATATAATTGACGAAATATCTCTTGTTTTAGAATACATATTTAATATGAGTTTCAACAAAGGTATTTTTCCAGAGACACTCAAATTAAGTTTAGTTGTACCCATTTTGAAAAAAAATAATTCTTTTAATTTAGAAAATCTCAGACCCATTAGCTTACTTTCAGTTTTTTTCTAAAATACTCGAGAAGCTCATGATGATTAGAATTGAAAAGTTTTTAAATAAAACACATTTTTTCAGTAATAAGCAGTTTGGTTTTATTAAAGGCAGGTCAACAGAAAGTGCTTTATTGGCAGTAACCGATCACATCTTCCAAGGATTAAACTCAAAACTGAAAACAACAGGTCTATTTATTGATTTTAAAAAAGCTTTTGACATGGTAAATCACAACATTCTTTTAAATAAATTGCAAAACGTAGGAATAAGAGGTACAGCTTTTGAGTGGTTTAAGAGTTTCATCACAAATAGGAGGCAACAAGTAAAAATAAACAATGACTACAGTAATCCTCTCATTGTACAAACGGGTGTGCCCCAAGGGTCAACGACCTCAGGTATTTTATTTTTAGTGTTCATCAACGATTTATTAAATCTACCTTTTAACGGAAATATCTTTGCTTTTGCTGATGACATTGCTCTTTTTTACACACAAAACGATTTGATGTTGATGGAAAATTTAATAAACGATGATCTTTTACTTTTAAGAAATTGGTGTTTGATCAATAGAATGCAGGTAAATGTAAACAAAACCAAATTTGTTAATTTCCACTCAACCGGTTTTGAATTGCCATCTCCTTTAATTTTTCACTCCTCAAATTGCAGTCCACAACTATGTAATTGCCAGCCGTTAGAAAAAGTAAAATCTATAAAATATTTAGGAGTTCTACTCGATGAAAAAGTCACCTTCGAACCTCATATATTAAATCTACATGCTAAGATACGAACACAAATAAGAAAATTTTATTTTTTAAGAAATTTTTGTAACGAATCACTTTTGAGAACATTATACTTTGCACTAATCAACTCAAGATTGCAATATGCCTTGCCATGCTGGGGAGGAACTTATAAAACCTTGATAAATAGATTAAGAACATCACAAAACTTTTTTATGCGGATAATTTTGAAACAACCTAAAAGAACAAGTTCATTTCCACTCTACAAACAGTTAAAAATTTTGCCCATACAGCACCTTTTTGTTTTCAAAGTTCTTAGACTGTTTTTTGTTCGAAGTGGAAACAGAGTTAACGTCATACCAAATATTACACACACATACATAACAAGAAGCATTACCAATAATACTCTGAAACTACCCAAAGTAAATAAAGCTATTTTTCGTCACTCTTTTCAATATCTAGGTCCAAAATACTATAATTATCTACCACTTCAAATAAAGAATAGTTTAAATTTAAAGCATTTTAGCAAAGCAACGATAATTTGGCT